CACACACACACACACACACACACACACACACACACACACACACACACACACACACACACATTCTCCTGTCTATTGATGGGGCGCGCCACCTGTTGGAAACTGGGTCCAGCGTCCCATGAACATCGTCAATAAAGCACCAACCGGGACCGCACACACACTCTCTTCGAGTTATATATAGCGAACATTTCCTTGGAAAAAATTACGGTTTTCAGCATCGTCGTCGTTATACCGTGTCCTAATTCGATGGGTCCCAAGGAAAACCCTTGGAGGCCTCCAGCGGCCAATTTCATATGCATACACGCGGCCGCGTGGGGTGGATGTCCGTCCTCGTGCTGGGATGTCCGTGCGTCGTCGGTGTGGTCCTCTGACGAACCAGCTTCTGAGCCTATGTCATCTTCCGGACCCCTTCTCTCTCTTTTTCTTTTTCAAAGTTTACTCGGCCCACCAAGGCCCCTCGATGTTTTTGATTAAAGATGTCTTGCTGAGACCCGTGTCGATTCTTGAAATCCTGTTTTCATAATTTGGAAAATGCATGGAAATTGCGCTGTTGAGCGCATCGGCCCCCGCGTGAGCGAGGGCCCTCCCGGCTATGTCACAGAGGAGTAAAAGCCAAACAAAATCAGAGACAACTTGAGAACGATGCATAATTAATCCCGCGAACCGCCGATACGGACGCGGTTGCATTGCCCCTTCGTCGCTCTAGCCGGGTGCGCCAGCTGTACATCTCGCGGTCCCCTACGACAGGATAGGTTCTCACGGGGCACATCTTACCTTCCCTAAGGGGTTGTCACCACCCTCAGGGGCGTATCCCTACCGAGCTACTGACCCACATGCGAAAGTTTTTACATGCAATTGCAGAGGTAGGTCAGCCGAGGGCGTTTGCTCGCTCGCTGGAGTATAGGTACGCTTGGTTAACGCCAAGTGGACCCGAACATTGTCCGTTCCCTAGGGTGCTGATCTCCTAGGTACGAACGAACGTCGGTCGACTAGGACGGTCTCAACCAAACGTGAAACCCACAATATTATCCTAGTCCTTTTATAATTCTCTGACCACAAGATAAATAAATAAAATCAATACACTTTATATCCAATCACACAAGACTTGATTTTGACTTGATGAGATGATCTGTCAAAGTTATCATTCCCGCCCTATATGACTGACGATACTATTATTCCGCCGCTTCCAAGGTGGAGGCTCGATATTGACGAAAGATTAGGAAGGACAGCCTAACCTTTAACTTACGGTTGGGTCTGTCGACACTTATTAAACCATGCCATCAATGACACCTCCAAGTAAATTTCACTGCTACCATGCCGATCAACAATGGAAGTGAGTGGTATCTGCAAAAAATTCCGCTTGTAAGTTGAAATTCCCATTTCCATTTTTTTTTTTCTTACGGCGCGCGCTTCTTGCGGCGCGGCCTACCGCGTAGGCGGTGCCTAAATGCACCCCTCTTGCTCTTAGTTAAACATGAACTGGGCTTCTTAAGGCTCCAGTTTTCCATGGGTAGGTGGCTCCTAAAGCGGCCACCATTAGGGTACCCTAAGTAGTCGCTCCCTGCGTGAGAACCAAGGGGTCCGCTGTTTTTCCCACCAAAGGTTACACGGTCAACCCCTAAGAGGTAGTATAGGGTACCCCTTCTCCTCGCCCAGGCCTAAGCCTGGATCTCAGAAGTTGGGCTGGCTCCACCACGGCAGCAAGGTACCCGCCCGCAGAAAGCGGTCCACTCCGAGTCGAATACAGGGTCGGTCCCTAAGGCAATGAACCCCCGCCTCAGATTCCTCCTAGAGATAGGGAATGCGACCCCGGCAAGTAAACTACCTCCCCTTCAACCACCGGCGTGGAGGGTAACTTAGACGAAAGAAGAAAGACGCGAGGAAATAAGTTTCATTTGGACGGGAATCAAACTTAGAGGGGGTCATTCGGGCGAGAAAGGGTTCCCTAAGGGAATAGTCTAAGTCCATCTGGAAATTTTTTCTTTCTTAAACGCCGCGTTCTCCTCGCGTTCTTCTCTTTCCTTTTTTTTCCTTCATGCAAATGGGCGAGGGTTTAGGAGACACAACCAGCGAGCCATCATCTCCCTACTACCCTGCGCCCCGTTGCACACACATACCTGCGTCCAAAAATAACATCACATAAAATAACACACGCACATATATTTTTTTCTTTGTCAGTCTCCCCCATTTACATGCACCAAACCCCTCCCCACTATCCTGCCATTTCCAAGAATATTCAGAGAAAGGGTCAAGCACAGTGTGGGTTTTGGGCACCAATGAGGGAGACTGAGTCCACTGACCTTGAGTGTCTTGCTGGTCTACTCAAGAAAACCTTTCAGAATAACCACCAAAACTGTTGACGTTCCGCGTGCGAAGCTCACAGCAACCCTTCTTTCAATTGCCTATACCACCTCCACTCGATTTGCTCCCTTAGTGTGCAACCCTCAACTGTATCACTAAGCGAAGTATCCTCACTCTCTTCCTTCTTTACAAGCTGGCGGCTATAGCTGTCACCCCTCCTTCTTCCTCGACAGTTGGTGGCTATAGCTGCCACTCCTCCTTCTTCTTCTTCAAATTTTACTACACTCCGTCCAACCTTCACCTCTCAAATCCAAACTGAAGTCTCTCCTCTCCTCTTTCAAATCTAACTTCAATCTCCCCCTCTTAGTAGGCACCTTCCCCTTCACCTTTGCTGCAGTCAGCCTCCACTTTTGCTGCAGCAGGCTATGGCAGCCTCTTCTTCAACCTTGAGAATGACTGCAGCGACAGTCTTCTCTCACCTTGAGAGAGGTAGCTATGGCTGCCTTCTCCCTCCTTAGAAACCTTAGCTCTGGCTGCCCGCAGCACTTGGAGCACCTGGCTATGGCAGCCAGCAGCTCCGCTCTTTCACTTTTCTCTCTGCACTCCAGCACCACTTCCCCCTTCACTACTTCACCTTCCACCTCAGTGCTAGCTGGTTATGACAGTCTAGCACCTCCTCTCTTCCTAGTACTAGTTGGCTATAAGAGCCAGCAGCACCTCACCTCTCTTCCACTCTCTACTTCTCTCTTCCAACAGCAGTCTCTCTCTCTCTCACTCAGCTGGCCTTACACTCCAGCAGCCTCTCCTCTCTCTCTCAGCAGTTGGCCAAGCACTCAGGCAGAGTGTGGGCAACACCTCAAAATGATGAGGTTGGTGCTGGCTAGCCCAGCTTTTATAGCTGGCTGAGAGGTGAAGGCCCAGCCGAAGCTCAGCTGAGGCTGTCTCCTTGAGCACACCAGCCACAAATTCGTAGTTGTTGTGGCCCTCGATCTGAAATTCAGATCAAGGGTCCCAAACCTTGATTTTCCCCTAAGAAGACTAGAGGGATTCAAGTATAAATGTACCTGGGTCTTTCCCCAGGTCCCATTCATGTAGGGAAGGCTATACTCAGCCTCCCCTTGTTGTGCTACAACACCACAGCAAGGCAGAGCCTTACTACACCTAGCCTGGCCCTCAGCCAGGTTCGCGCACTCCCCCTCTGAACTCACTTCCAATCTGAGTTCAGATGTTGTGCCCGAATCTAGCTGCTGAGGAAGCCACATTCAAAAAAAAAAAAAAGCTCACACAGCACAAAAAAAGAAAGCAAAAGAAATTTTTTTCCTCACTCACCTCGTTTTTCAGCAGCCTCGGCTGCTGAAAACCAGGTCCAGAGTTCAAATCGGGGGGAAAATGTGTTTCCTTCCCCCACTCTTTTTTTTTTTTTTGAAAGGGGCAGCTCGTTTTTCAAAACGAGCTTCGTCCTTCCACCAAGTCTTTTCACCATGTCGAACTAGTGTCAAGCTCATAGGGTTTTCCCCCACTTGCCCCAAGAGCCCGTACCCAGATGCAAACCGTGCCGGGTACAAGCGTCGTCTTGCAGCCTGTCCACAAAACGAACAGCCACGGGGTACACCACTGGAGTCTTACTTGTTGGCTGTTGCGCCGCCCACTGTTGCTTCCGTTCGTGGCCAGGTAAGTCCTCTCTTTTCCCCGCAGTAGCAGTAGTAGTA